TTTAAGGTCCCTTCCAGCCCAAACCATTGTGTGATTTTTCAGGAGAACTCAGTGTATTTGCTGTGGGGACAGGAATGTTCTCCATGGTGTCACTCTCACAGGGGCCCAGCCTGGCTCCTGCTCACGCCTGACATTTCCTTCCTTGTTTCCCCCTCCTTGCCTGGCCACCCCATGCTTCCAGCAGCACCATCTCCCTGTATCCAAGCATCCACCTGGCACTGCTCCCCAGCCTGGCTCCTGGAGCCTTCCCAAGCCACAGGGGAGTCCAGGGCAGCCCAAGGCTGCTGGATCCCACCCGGGGGCACTCACCGTAGGTCGTGATCATTTTACTGGTCTCTCGGAAGAGCAGGATTCCATTGGGAGAGGACACATCAAACTGCAGCCGTTGGGATCTGAGGGAAACACAGGGAATGGTTAGAGGCACGCTGGATTCATCCCAGGGCTGGAGCCAGGCTGGGAGAGCTGGGGGGGTTCACCTGGAGGAGAGAAGGATCCAGGGAGAGCTGAGAGCCCCTTGCAGAGCCTGAAGGGGTTCCAGGAGAGCTGGAGAGGGACTGAGGACAAGGGATGGAGGGACAGGACACAGGGAATGGTTCCTGGGAAGGAATTCCTCCCTGGGAGGGCAGGGAGGGGCTGGAGTGGAATTCCCAGAGAAGCTGTGGCTGCCCCTGGATCCCTGGAAGTGTCCAAGGCCAGGTTGCAGCAACCTGGGACAGTGGAAGGTGTCCCTGCCCATGGCAGGGGGTGGAACAGGATGAGCTTTAAGGTCCCTTCCAACCCAAACCACCCTGGGACTGGAAACTGCAGCTCGAACACAGCTGGGAGCAAAACCAGAGCCACCAGTGCAGGAGCTGCTGGTTCTGGGACTCCTGGATGCTCCCTGAGTTCCCACCCTGCCCTGGTAGGAAATCCCAACACCACACAGGACACAGGCACTCGGGGCCAGAGGAGCTCTGCTGTGGCAGAAGAAAGGGCCTGTATTTCTCAGATGTCAGGAATATTATGGGATTGAGGCTGGAAGTCAATCAGTCACTGGGATACTGCTCCCAAACACAACCTCTTGGAAGGCCCTGCAGCCCAGCCTGACTGGCCCCTATTCAGGGCAGCACCAGCGAGTCCCAGCTTGGCACTTGTGCCCCTGCAGTGACTCAGCCTGACAACTGAACCACAACCAGCTGCCCAGTTCACCTCTGGAATAAATGCCTGGATGGTTTCCAGCCGGGATTGTGCCCCGGCTGCAAAGATGCAGCCTGGCAGGACGCATTCCCAAGAGCTCCCCAAGGCCTGTGCCCGAACCCTGTGTCCCTGGAACAGCTCAGCCCCTTCCCACAGGGTTGTGCTCAGCCGGCTGGGAGCCAGAGCATCATCCTGGCGACCTTCCCGTGCCAGCTTAGACAGCTCCTGAATTATCCCAGCAGCGTCACAGGTCCCTCTCTGCTGGCAGAGAAGGGCTGAGGCTCCAGAGCAAAGTGGCTGCCAGGGGGGAACAAGGTCCATCTGAAAGCAGGGTTTTTAAAAGGGACCAAATTTCCTGCCCCCACCTCCCAGTGGTGCCCTTGGCAATGAAAACGTCCAGTGGTTATTGATCGTGTCTCGGCCTGATGGAGCCGTGGGATCTGATCTGGGGGATTTTCTTCCCTGCTGGAACAATCCCAGTTTCCCCCCCCCTTCTGTCCCCCCCTCTGGCAGCTTTTGGAGCATAAATAGATCGAAGGAGAGAAAACACAGCAGGGCAGAGACACCCACATGGAGCAACAAACAGGCACAGAGGGAAGGGCTGAGCCCTCCAAGCCCTTCCAACCCCAAGCATTCCAGGGAATCCCGGCCAGTTTCCAGGCTCCTACCTGTTGTGGACCAGCTCGGCCATGAGTTTGAGGACAGGGGTGGTGCAGGCTGGGTCATGGTACCAGAGCTCGATGGCTCTCTGCAGGATTGGCATGTAGGAGGGGTAACTGCCAGGGAAAAGCTAAGGAATTCTGGGCTTTCCAGAGGGCAACATTTCCACCAGAAGGCACATTTTGTGGGCTGCACACAAGCCCTGCAGAGCAGCTTAATTAACAGGGTTAAACAGAGATGCTGTTCACTGGGTCTGCTTTATTATTATTATTATTATTAGTATTATTATTATTATCATCATCATCATTATCTGATATTATTATATTATTAAAATATAATTTATATAGTTATGTGTTATTTCTACTGTCAATAAAAT